CCAAGAGTTTTAAAAACAGATTGGACAAAGCTGTTGAAAAGCAACCAGAATTTTTATGGGATGGACTGGATGATTTATTAGAATTTTCATCTCTAAATTTAATTATTTGCTTGCATTTTCTGAAGTCATGAGAAATATTCTGTCCTGGAATGCCTGAAAAGATCCAATGTTGGCTTCCGGCTGTATCAGGATTGACACAATTCTATATACCTAAAAGACTTTGTCTGTCTGTCTATGCATAATGCTCTTGGGAGGTGTGGCTCCTGGTGGGGCATGGCTCCAGCCAGTGCTAAGCGTGGGACAAATTGCCCATCAATAATGATGGCAGGGACAGAGCACTGCCATGACAGCGGGGACGGAGCGGCAGGGGTGGGGGGGTTGGCACAGAGCCAGATGCAGAGTGGGGGGAGAAAATGACAGTGGGGATGGAGCCCTGCCATGCTGGTGTGGATGTGGGGGGGCTTGCCCCACCGTTCCTTGGAGGCAGCAGTGGCATGAGGTGGTGGCGGTGTGGTGTTGGCCTCACCTGCCCCCTTCCCCCCCTCCAAATCATTCTTGACAGATAATTGCTAGTACTATACAGAATTCCAAGTTTTACAGGAATGACAATGTGGCACTTTGGCTGTTTCATACAAACAGATTATGTAGCTCATCTACAACCCATATAAAATTGCAGATAAATAGTGAGAAGCAGATTTCATAGACATCAGGGCTGGAAGGGACCTCGGAAGATCATCGAGTCCAGCCCCCCGCCCAAAGGGCAGGAAAAATGACCAAAAAACCTTATCTAACAAAATAGTTATCAAAAGCTTCATTTGTTTCCAAACCTGCCTAATGCCAAACCACTTGCTTCCACAGAAGTTATGGGTACTCAGCATCTTTAAAATTGGGCTACTTACTGAAGTACCCAACTGTGGAATCAATAACCTTAAGCACCCAAGTCTGAACATATATAATTTGTGCTGTATTGTTAATAAATGGGGAAATTTTCACTGCTTCAAATGCATCAGCTGAAGAGATCTCCTTGTTAAACATTAATAAAGCTAAACTGTTTTAAGAAATCTATAGAATAAATATTTATTCATGCAGTACACTGTCAGTCTGTGACTGTAGAAAGTAGAGATGAAAATTTGTTTTGCATTTACTAAGAAAGGGTGGGCAGTCTGGCACCAGCCTCAGGTGCCAACTCAGTGGCATCATCAAAATGGCAGTTCTCCCAGGGAGTCCAGACCATAGCAACAGCAAGACAAGCAGAGTGCAGTTGCTGGGAGCTTTAAGTCCCCAGGTGTAACAGGAACCCTAGCTCATTACTGAGAGGGTAAAGGCCAGAGGGATATGATACCTTTAAGAAGGCCCTACTGTGAATATAGACCTCACTTTCAAAGATAGAAGCACTGCCACCAAGCACAGAGCGCTGTGGGGAGTGGCTGCCAGACCCCCGAACATTGTAAGGGATGCTGCCTAAATGCTGCTAGAAAGGGTGGCCCCAGGCAGCGGGACTAAAAGAACTGCAGGCTCCAAGATGTAAATAGTAGGCTGCAGGAGTGAGGCCAAAGGCAACTGATTGAGGGTAGTAGGAACGCCTCAGAGGGTAACAGCAGGCCTGCTAATTGAGCCAGTTAAGCCAATAGGAAGCTACTTCTCCCTGTCAAGGGAACCCCAGGTCAGGTGACTGGAAATGGGAGAAGCAGAGATGACAGGCCACTTGAGGGCCCAGCAAGTTGTGTGCAGGTCACAGCAAGACCTGACAGCAGGCAAAGAGGCCCAGAGAGACTTGCTAAGAAGGAGTTACTAAGTCTCTCTATATGCTAGAACAGGGGTGGGCAAAATATGGCCCGCGGGCTGGTCCATTCTATCCGGCCTGCGGGGCCCCTGAAAACATTTTGAAAATTAAAATTTATCTGTCCTTGGTTCCTGTCAAAGATGACAGGAACCAGGGGCAGTAGGATCCAGGGGAAGCCCGGCAGGCTCCCACACCAGCAGGGCCCACTGGGCCCCGCCCCCAAAGCTGGACCACATGGCTGCACCAGTGCAGGGAAACTCAGGTAAGTGAAGGGGGGAAGGACAGGGAACAAATTGGTGCAGAGCATGGGGAGAATTGGCCCTCTCCCCTCCCGTGGCTGGTGCTCCCTGCTGCAGCC